TATACTTTCTGTTCATGTAAAGCCAGTTACACATTTTCATTAACACCATTGTGTTCACATAGAATATACTTTCTGTTCATGTAAAGCCCATAATCACTGCCAGATATCATTTCATACTTTAGTAGACTCATAATTTTGTAAAAAAGGGAAAATCTGTAGTACCAGGGTCTTTAAGCAAAGTTTGTGAAATGATTGCCCATAAATATCATCAAATCTTACAAATTTGCAGAAAATGAAATCAAGTGCATGTAGGATTATTAATATATAAGTGGATTTAAAAGTTCAAATAACTATGTATTCTGACCAATTTTCTATTCAAAATGGCCACTAAATTGTGGCTTAACAGTAGAGGGGGGAAATCGCAAGAATTGTTAGTGTTTTTAAATTTTTCCCACTTTTTCCAATTATCCAGGTGTACTGTAAAATACTTTATTTTCGTTTGGAATTAATTTTCGCTGAAGGACTGATTCAGTGAAAATAAAATGCAGCGGATATACCGTTTTTCCTATATTTTCACATTCAACTGGTCAGAAATCAGTGAAAATAAATTCCATACAAAACACCCAAAAAAATCATTTCAGCAAAAATTTATTCCAGCTAAAATCGAGTATTTAACAGTATCCTTAAACTTTTTCACAGGTTGTAAATAGAGATTTCAGATGGTGATGAGAGTCTGTAGCTCATTGCATGTGTCAATTGACCTACCTTAATTAGTATTGTCATATCTTCTAGATCTTTTCCATCCCATGCCTCAAACGGTGACAATAACTGTAATCTGTTACTATTTTTATCAACATCAACACTGACACTAGAACCATCTTCTGGTGGATGTTGGTATGTGTCTTCACCAGGATCAAACCCCTACATTTACACAAACATAGAATATTCAAATTTAAACATCCATACAAAATCAGTGAAACTTTCAAATTGCTGGACCATGGGTAGAAAAAAAAGAAAGATGGGGCTATATTTGTGAAAATTTATCTCACCAAGTTAATACAAGGCATGGTGAAAATTGATGATAGCAAACTAATAATTCATAATTTCTTACTCATCATAATTGTTTTAAACAAATTTAAATTTTATCACCCCCAATAAAGAATGCTTACTGATTAGTTTGAGGATAATTTCATGCACATGTACCAAAGTTGATTAAGGAGGTGTCACACAAGTAACACAATGATGATCTATACAACTGTTATTATTCTACTAGTGTTGTGTTTAAAGTTACATTCCCACTAGCTTTCTATTATATACAGATCGCCATAAAAAAAAAAGATAAAATCAAATCATTTGGCAACAAAACCTGAAATATTGGGAGTACTACGAATAGACGACACAGAGGGTCCTTGTTTTTTAATCAACAAATACTTTTCCTTGTTGTAATCAATCATGGCCAATTTTTATTTTAGGTGTACTTCTAAATTCAATTTCAGAATTATGAACTGCACAAAACTCAAGATCTTTATCAGTATATGAAGCTTACACAGGTCAGTGAGGTGTACTGCAGATCATGCGTAGTGTGAACACAAATTTTAAGGTTGTAATGTGTCCATCACAGATACAGATATTCTCTGTGACTAACCTTGGATGGAAGTTCATCACCATAAGGACTTTCAAGTTTAAATTTTTCACCATTAGCACCTCTGAGTGAATCCGTTTCTGGGTTGAAAGATAGATCACCAGCAATGGCCAATGCTGTCACAATCTGAAGGAAGACATACAGTACAATTACGACAGGAATAGTAATAACACCACAAGTTTAAAAAATAATGCATTTTGTTTACAGTCAAATATATATAATAGTGGATGATTAAAGTCTATATTGACCACTGTTTTGGCACCAGTTGCAAGATGATGAATGCTTTGTGTTTTAATTCTTTACACTAACATTTGCAATTTAATCAAAACAAACACGTCTATTCCCCATTTTCAAATCTTATAATTATATGATTTTATTATAAAACTTGATGAATGTCCCAGCAACATTAAAATCAGTGAATTAGAATTCACCTCTTGCAGTAGTCAACTGTATGATTTAAGATGCATTGAACTAGCCATGTACTTTAATGTTCTTACCTCAGGGGAGGCAACAAATGCATGGGTTTGAGGATTTGCATCATTACGGCTTGTGAAGTTTCTATTATATGATGTCACAATGGTGTTTTTCTCTCCTTTCTTGACGTCTTGTCTGCGAGAACATAAATGTACCCAGCTCAGTATTTTCATTTAGAAATCTGATTAAAATAACATTGATCAATTGTTTTGTACATATATCTGACCAACTTTTATAGGAAGTTTTATTCAAATCTCACAATTCCAGACAAAGTGTTGCTCTGTGTGTACACAGTAATAACGCAGGTACATTATAGAATTAAAATGTTTTATAGTAATTTACTCTGAAGTGATCTCATGAAGGAGACATCGTGTTGGTGTTGGTGTTGGTCAGATGCATGTACAAAGCACTTGTACATTTTAATCAAAATGGAGAATAATATTGTATGAAAATGTAGTGCCCTCTAGAGACGAGTTTTAAAATATAACAGCAAATAAAACTTTCATGAAACATTGACAAACAGTTATTAAAGCGCGGTGGTCGGCGCAAAGTGCGCGTTCGAATTTCATGTAAATAAACAATGTTGTATACGTCGCTATGAGTCCCACATTGAACAGGACTCGGCATGACGACTGCCACCCTTTAAACATATAACATTCATGGCATTACAACCTAATGTATTTCAATGAAATTTGCACTTTGCAAACAAGGTTGTGATTGGAAGGATGCCCTCCACCGTATTTGCTCCATTAGTAGCTCTTTTGCTTATGGAAATGGAACAACAGAAGATATACTGTAAAATAATTTATTTTAGCTAGAATTAATTTTTGCTGAAAAGACTTTTTGGGTGTTTTGTATGGAATTTATTTTCATTGATTTTTGATAAGATGAATATAAAATATAGGAAAAAGGTATATTTGCTGGATTTTATTTTCACTGAATTATTCCTTCAGCAAAAATAAAGTATTTTACAGTATTTGAAAGATCCAATATACAATAAAAGCAATTTTGGGTTTATGCATGCTTCTATCAGCTTCAAAGAGCAAATATGGGATAAGTGCAAGTTATAGAAAAGATTATAGAATGACCTATGAGAGACCTCTATGGGGTTTTAAATATGGCGACTAAGTGTCATCAAAACCTAGTATAGGCAAGTCAGACATTCTAAAACTGGATTCTAACATGGCTACGATCGGAGTAATGGTTATCTGTAGAAACTTTTGTGAAGTATATGTTAATTTAACAATGTCTTATCAATGATACTATCATTTTTAGTATCAGTATGGAGATCTAACTGACATGACTTTGCTAAAAAAAAATTAACAAAATAAGTTAAAGTAGCTCCACTTGTGTCAGTCTGTTCTAATTGATGACATTCACGTTTCCGAAAGCTATTATGTTGATTATACCATGGGCATATCTTGATCCGATTGGTAGAAATGGCCCAGTCAATTTGAAGCTTGGTTAATTACTTTTATTTCTCACCTTTTAATATCGAATCATTATTTTTCACATCGTGCTTATATCAAAAACTACTGTAAAAGGGTTTTAATGCGTTAAATTAAAACCCAGTGAATATGTAAAATTGAGCATAGAATACATTATCTAAATGATAAAACCATATGCCTGAAATAATAAATCAGCGAAATTTAAACCCATTGAAAATCAATCATTTTACAGTATGTGAGAATAATAGTAATAACTCTTACCTATCCCACTGACCGATGCAAGGTCCACAGGCATTGGCTAAAACTGAAGCACCAAATTCACGGAAAATATCAGCCTGACCATCTCGCTGGATAGTTGCTCTGATTTGCTCAGAACCTGGTGTTACAGTGAACAAAGCCCTGGAATAAACATATTCACAGCAGGGTTATAGTACGGTGACAAAATGAAAATGTGATGTGAAAAATGTGAGAAAATCAACTGCAATTGACGGACCCCAATAAAAAAAATGTCATACAAATCATGCTGCTTAAAATTGAAATATAATTTAAATTCATATGGTTATTTAGACAATGATATTACATACTCATGCAGAGCACTCTGATCTGCTTCATTCTGTCATTGGGATGTGATATGGGAAACCTACTGCAGGGAGCAAAAACAGCTTCCTCTAGAAATGATTGCGGTTTATCCATCGTAATCTGCTACTCATTACTAGGATACAAGAATATTCTACATCTACACAAGATCATATGAGCCTTATCCAACCCCTTTGACAATTGTCATAAAATTTTGTGGGCAGAATGTATTAATTTTTTCTTTGCAAGTGAACAGCCAACCACAAAAGTTCACAGACTGCACCATATACTACAGTTCGACTGTTCCAATAATAATTTTTTGAAAATGTCAATAGACTACCTGGTTAATTGTCACTTGTGCTAATAAATTAAAATTCAATACTTACTTCCCTTTGATGCCGTGATCTAAAGCTTGTTTTGCAACACTGGCAGCTCTACTCATATCTTCATAACTACTATTAGTACAGCTACCAATAAGACCTGAACATCAAAATAAATATCCAGTTCATTCAACTCAGTATTTGAATTTCCTTAAAATATAACACGTAAATCTGATAATAAAGACTGCTCTGTTCATCAACTCTCCACTCCAAACATGAGTGACAGGAATATATCACTCACGTTTTGTTATTACAAGTAGAAAAATAATTATGTTTGGCCAGTATGACCAATTTTGAAGGCAACAATCCAAAGATAAGGACATATTTCAGAATTTCAGTGAGACTTAGGATTATAAACACTTACCAACTTTGACTTCAAGTGGCCATCCATTCTTTTTTGCATTCTCTCCAAGTTTTGAAATAGGACTGGCGAGATCTGGAGTGAACGGGCCATTCACATGGGGTTCCAACTACAAAGATTAATTAAAATATTAGCATAAAGTAATGCATGATTCCAGCTCAGTCATACGCATAAGAATTATATGAATAATCATTAACGTAACAAATCTTGTTTCAAATACCTGGTCCAGATTAATTTCAACTAGTTCATCATAGTCGCATTCTGGATCTGCTGAAAACATAGCACTATGTTTATCTGCAGCTTCAGCAATACCTACAATAAAAATACAAATTTCAATAATAGTATATTGTCTGCAGGGGTTTTTCTAGAAAAAAACTGCAAGACGGAGCCCTGCAATTTAGCGGTGCAACCAAGTGACGGGAGATAGGGTTCTCCCTACCAGTGTGTGGAGTTTTTGATAATTCTAAGTTAAAATGGAGCATTCTATGGCTTGCTTGGGGCCAAAATTACTATCAGACAGGTCACAGTTGAAGACTGTGGCCACATGTGATCCTTGGTCAATCAGAATTTTATGGTTGTAAAGGGTCTGAATAATAGGCTTGCTGTCTGTCTTTACTCTGACATACTAATTCAATTTTAACAATGAATTATACAGGCTAGGAATATCTCAAATGTGATGCACTGTGGCAGCCAACAGACTTCAAGGGTTTCATGATCACATAGTATTTTTGCTCAAGTATAAAATCCAAGTTGCAAAATAACTCGAATAGTTAAAGTCAACTGCTATAGGATAATTTGTACATATTATTTATACTATTTACAGAAAGTATTTTCATAAACACATTCATGCCATGTTTCATGTTCTAGACAAAAAAAACATATAAGACGTGATTGAGTAGACCCACCTGACCTATTTGTTGCCTTTAGATAATCTCTCATTCGTCTATTGTATGGGAACACTGACGTTGTAGCACCCACTTCAGCACCCATGTTGCAGATGGTCGCCATTCCTAGAGAGTTGAAAGATGACACATCAAAGCTTTTTATAACTTTGAACACCATTATTTTTTAGTTGGACTACATAAACAAGCAGCCTGTCGGCTGAGATAGCTCCGCTGTTAGCAATACACATTGCAATTAAAGAACAGAAGATATCATTAGAAAATGAACAATATGTATAGTATCAAAACAACAGGACTTCAAAACAGATTTCAAAAATATCACTTTTCACCAAAAATAATCATCAAAATTAGAGAATTGAAGATATCACCACATAATTAACAAATCAGAAAGAGGTCCACATGTAGTACCTATATATGTAATATAAAAGCAATCAGACTTGCGGTTTTCAATAAGAAGTCAAAAATATCACTTTTTACCAAAAATTAAAAAAAATATTCACCAAAATTAGAGAATTGAAGATATCATCACAAAATGAACAAATCTGAGAGGACTACATGTAGTACCTATATATGTAATATCAAAGCAATTGGACTTGCGGTTTTTAACAAGAAGTCGAAAATATCACATTATACCAAAAATATTCACCAAAATTAGAGAATTGAAGATATCACCATGAAATGAACAAATCTGAAAGAGGTCTACCCAAGGTACATATACACCAAGTATCAAAGCATTCAGGCTTGTAGTTTTCAAGAAGAAGTCGAAAAAGTAAAACGACGGACAACGACGACGGACAATCACTCATATGATAAGCTCCGCTCGACAAAGTCGACAGCGGAGCTAAAAAGGCCACAATTAATTGGTGGCAATCTGAAGAAAAGCAGCAAAAATATGAATTCTCAGAGAGTGGTTATTAATTTCACCAAAACATGGAAGTAAAGAAGCCACGTGTAATGTGACAAACTGTTTTGCATAAAAAATTACAAAAGTGAAAAAAAAAAATAAATATGCAAATCACTTTTTTTGACAGACTGGAAAACTAATTTCTTAGTAGGACAGCATTTTCACATTTTGAAAGTAGAATATCTTAAAACCTTGTGATTTTGAAATTAAAACATGTGGGGGGGGGGGGGTGTCTCCATTCTAAAATTCATACTAATATATTTTCTCAGTGGCTATTTTCCATTGGTAACAGGTCAGAATTTGAGTAAATTTATCCATACTTTAATTAATTTGATCATCAAGACATTATTTCACATTTTTGAACAACATTTTCCCATACATTTTGAGTGGTGAAATCAAGCAGATTCAACAGAACCAATAACCACGATATTTGAAGAAATGTGACCAGAATATCAAATGAAGTAAAGAGAGTAACTGAATTGACTCAATGAAGCAGAAAACTCACGCTTGAAGTAAATGTCAATACTGGCTTTCTTGCGATTACATTTTGGATGAGCGCAATTCAAATACTGTACATATCAGCTCACATATTGATGTGGAATGATTTACTAGAGTTCATCACACAACTGATCAAATATAAAGTGCATGCAGATTAAATCAGTGGCACTTATGAAATAACACTTAAACACTTCTTTATTCGTTTGTCTAATTAGATCATTAATATGCAAAATTTTTACAAAAAAACTAATCAGGTATGTGCTACTTAATAGAGCAAAATAATGCAGTATGTGAAGTCATTGGTAACAATAACATTTGAAACAATTTGAAAACATTATATTCTGATAAGTCAATAAATAAAATTAGCTAATAAATATACGTAGAGATTATAAGGATGGATAACTTAAATTATATGTAAACAAACAACAAGTTTGTATGATTACCTGTACAAGATATTGATTCAACACCAGGTCCAAAATATTCCACAATATGACCAGTACCTCCTTTTACAGTAAGGATGCCAGCAAGTTTTAATATTACATCTGGAAAATACAAGAATAGAAATGTTTGTATTCGTTGCACATTATTATGTCTGTTAAATTATTAAATTTCATGATTGTAGGCAGCAGTATACATGGGTATTCACTAGCCTTATGATAAACCCACACCTGATAACTGCATTGTACTGATTTAATATCTTCTTCTGCTTACATCAGTACGTCTTTAATCTAGGTCTTGTGAGATATCCATAATATTATAATAACTGTGGTATAAAACTAGTTAAATACAATGGATGCATAAGCTCAGTGACCACATCTCAGACAACAAAACTGAGTTGAAAATCTGTTCATGTTTTACAAGTACAAGACATACAATGAACAAAAACTGCAGTTATACTAATTCCTTATCTAAACCATGAACACATAAATATATATCCATAAACTGAATCTTAGTCTCTTTGGTGTTTCATTTGGGACATGACTGAAAGACCTCTATAAATTGAACATTTCTGCAAACAGAAAAATCAGCGTCCTTTTGGTGTCTAGTGCAGACGTGTTTAAAAGGAATCAGTTCATCAATTCAATTTGAAATGCATTTCTGTGGTTACCTTTTGGTGCTGTCCATCCTTTTAAGGCACCTTCAAGTCTGACACCTATTACCTACAATAGAAATAGATACAGCTCAGCGAGTAGTGTAAGTATTGTAGTATGAATAACTTCAAGAGTCTGGCTTTTAGTTTGTACGAGTTGTACTTCTGTTTGTAGTGCATGCTAGGTAAATTATCTTTTAGGTAGTTGAGGCAAATTTGGCACCACTGAGCATGTTATTGTACATGTGTGCAATGTATCATCGAATACACTTTAATATTAGCCTAAAAAATCATTAAATTACATGTCATTTTTTTAATGTTTTCACAATATCAATAATATAAGACTTTTTCATTCCATGTCAATCAGCAAAATTTATACTCTTCAACTCAGTTTATACTAAAGATGTGTTTGGGGTTAGTTTTTCGAAATAGAGTTAATTTTTTGATTTTTTTTTCTTATGCACAAGACATACCAAAGCTATGCAGTTTTATGAAACATTTTTAAGACACAAGCTTGAGTTGTGTACCATTTTTCTATGTGCATTTTCTTTTGTACAATGTACATGCAATAATCCTAGCTGCCATTCATAGTATTGTTGAAACATTCAGAAAATATGATAAATATCATATTTTGAAGGTGTGGCTAGTTATAAAATCAAGTCCCTTATTATAAAACATAGATTTAATACTAAAATGTGGCAAACACAGTAACCATAATTATGTATCTCTCAAACTCATTTTCAGAGAATATAATGACATTACTGTGGCCGCAAAAAAAAAATGGATCAGCAATATTGGGAGACACTGTTTTGCTAACAAAATAGGTACATTACACAAAGTGTTGCCACAGGAAGCTATGGCTACATTGAGAGCAATATAGCTATATCATTAGCAAAACAGTCTCATACTGCATTCTTTCTTGTGGCCACAGTAACATCATGCCAAGACTAAGCATCCAATTCATAGAATCATATCGGACTTAACTCACGTATTCTCGAAACGAGCAATTTCAAGGAAAAAATTTCTAAAATTCTTTACACAGATTGAAATTGTATAGGAAATAATGAATGATTTTGAAGGGCATTAAGGAATTTAGAAGGATCACCTAGAATCCGGTTCTAATGCCTATGAATTTTTAAGCTGTGGATTCATTATCACTGTAAAACGATCTAATTTCCTTTAATAGAAACACTAGTCCAACGTTAAATGATAAAAGCACCCTCCAATTTTTTTTAGTTATTCAGGAACAAATATCAATAAAAAAAATGAAACTCATTTTATTATAACAATTCTATTAATAATGAAATTACATGGCCTATGTGAATTTTTAAGCTGTGGATTAACCATCCATTATCACTGTAAAATGATCAAATTTCCTTCAATAGAAACATTACTCCAACGTTAAATGACAAAAACATCCTCCGATTTTTTTTTAGTTATTCAGGAACAAATATCAATAAGAAAGAACACATTTTATTATAACAATTCTATTAGTAATTAAATTATTATTAATGTTTTATTGAAAAAATAGTACAAAAATATGAAACTAAAATTTATCCCTCAACAGATACAATAAATATTTATTCATTCATAAATATTAATATTCATATGGTTAAAAGCATTATGCAAAGTCATTTTGAGCTTTCACGAATATGGAAGCACTTTTTCTTTTAGACAAAATAAACTTTGGCACACATTTATATTCATGAGCTTCAAATAGAAAAACTAAAATAACATTCCAATAGAACATGTAGCAGTGTTCATGCTTTTAGCATACACTATTATTTACAGAAACTATAGTGGGAAATTGAAACTAATAATTGGTGTAAATCATACTGTAAAAAACTTTTTAAATACATTTTAGCTGGAATTTATTTTCACTGAAAAATTGTTTGGGTGTTTTGTATTTTTGATGAGTTGAATGTAAAATATAAAAAAAAAGGTGTACCCGCTGGATTTTATTAGCCTATTTACAGTACGTCACAGTATCACGGTACTGATTATTGGACGAAAAAAATGAATTAGCGTATTTACATATTAATTAAACATAACATCTTTCAATGTATATATACTGTAAAATACTTTATTTTCGCTTGGAATTAATTAACGCTATTTTCGTTGAAGGAATGATTCAGTGAAAATAATCCAGCGAATATACCTTTTTTTCTGAATAATGAATAAATATTCAACAATAGAAAATGTCTGTTTTTAATGCACACATTTTCAACAATATTTCATGGGTGACATAAATCAGTTTTCAAACTTAGAAGAAGATCACCAAAGAATAAGGATAAATTGAAAGCTATGTACATGACTGTTTAAATCACGTTACCAAACTGACACACAGTGAATAATGATGTCATCTATTCACATACTATTGACTGGTGCAAAATCAAAAGATTCTTTTCACTTGAAAGCACAGCTGCGTGGGTTACTGACTTAAACCCCTCACTTTGAATAAAACATAAAATGTTATTAAAATGACTTACTCTAGGACATTTTAATTCCCAAGGTATATCAGCCATAACATCTACAGCATCAGCACCACCAACACCAATACATAGACCACCCAGCCCACCACCATTAGGTGTATGACTATCAGTACCAATTACTAAGATACCAGGGTATGCATAGTTCTCTAGGACAATCTGTAAGCAAGGATAGTCACATTATACATACTGTATTACTGGTTACATTCAATCAAAACTTGTTTCTGTGGATTGTTTCTATTTTCTGTAGTTTAAGGTCAGCATAGACTGCAAAAATATAACAAATATTTCAATGGAGTTTATTACGCTCATAATACCGCAATTGCTCAAAAGCACACCACCAATTTTCTGTTTACTGTGAGATCATGTGTTACGCATAAAATTAAACGTACAAACAGGACATACGAAGGTCATAGTGTCACATACGCATCAAAACATCGCGTGCAATTGGTCAAACGATTTTTGGGCTATTTTCACGCTCAATAATATGTTATATACAATTGAGGATGGTCAATTTTGATTACCGGAGGTAAGTATGGGTATCTCAATGCAATATTCCTTCTGAAATATAGGCATTGCTACTTTAAACTATAACAAGCAGCCTCTCGGCTGAGATAGCTCCGCTGTTAGCAATGCACATTTCAATTAAGAACAGAAGATATCATTAGAAAATGAACAATATGTATAAGTATCAAAGCAATCGGACTAGCTGTTTTTAACAAGAAGTCGAAAATATCACTTTTCACCAAAAATAACAAAAATATTCATCAAAATTAGAAAATTGAAGATATCATCATGAAATGAACAAATCTGAGAGAGGTCTACCCAAGGTACATATACACCAAATATCAAATCATTCAGGCTTATAGTTTTCAAGAAGAAGTCGAAAAAGTAAAACATTGACACGGACGACGACGAGCGCCGACGACGGACAATCACTCATATGATAAGCTCCGCTCGACAAAGTCGACAGCGGAGCTAAAAAAAAAGGAAATCAAATTATTCGATTTTTGTACAAGATCACGGAAAATCATCTACTCGGGTACACATCAACCAAGAAAAAACAATTTTGCTTTGGACTTGAATACATCAAACCCACTCTGAACAATTCATTCTAACCTTCATGTAAAAGAGCACATTTCTAAAAAGGGCAAAATTGGCAAACCTTACGTAAAGGAGAACTAGTAGTACCGTACCACGATATCAACAAACATAACTGAGGCCAATTTAGTACTGTGCTAAGATGATCTATTACATTCAGAGGCAGATATTGTAAACTTGTATTAAACTTCTTTTCTCGTGGATAAAAGTCAAACCTTACAAAATTTGTCAAATATTAAAAATACTCTTAAATGTTATTTCACTTCCAGGAATAAATAATAGACTTTTAGGAGTTTAATATCAGTAGAAAACAAAATTAAGATGAATCCAAATTGTACGTAATACAGACAGTACACGTATAAGGATTACTTCCTGTCCACATTGTCTTAACCTTTAATCCAATGATTGCATTGCAGCATTTGTAATATGCTTCTATTCATAAAATTGTTTGGAACATAAACCTAGTTCACTTGTAATGTAAGTAATCCTATCGACTTTATATTGTGTACAAGAATCTCTCTATATTTCAGATTTAATTGAAAAATAATTTAATAACATTCAAATTCAGAATTTGAAAATGAGAACATACCGGTAGTACTTGCTCTACTGTCGGCAGTATATTGTAGCACATATGCTCGTGAATAGTAAATGACAGGTTGTTTTCCTTGGTCATAATAAATCATATTTTAATGAAGCAGAATACAAACGCTATTTTGAATTATGTGCGATTCCATTGGAGATGTACTTTGTTCTAACAGAGCAAATATATTGTGGGCAGCAGTATACATGGGTATTCAATAGCCTTATGATAAACCCACACCTGATAACTGCATTGTACTGATTTAATATCTTCTTCTGCTTACATCAGTACATCATTAATCTAGGTCTTGCGAGATATCCATAATATTACAATAACTGTTGTATAAAACTACAGTTAAATAAAATGGATGTATAATCTCAGTGACCAAATCTCAGACACAACAAAACTGAGTTGGAAATCAGTTCATGTTTTACAAGTACAAGACATACAATGAACAAAACCTGCAGTTATACTAATTCCTTGTCTAAACCATGGATACATAATTTCAGTGACCATATTTCATACTCATGTGATTCAGAGTGTTGGAAATATGATTCCGCATGTTGGAAATTCATGTAACATATTAATAGATAAATTCTTACAAGGATGTGTCAAAAGTTTCAAGAGCCAACTATGAATCTAGATATTAATTAGACAGGTAATTATTTTTACAAACTCACTATTCTTCTATTTTTTCCATTTTTTTAATAAACAGCAATAGGAATTTCATTTGTTTCAGTGGCTTAATTAAACCATAATTATTTTTATTTTTTTTTGGGGGGGGGCATTTTTCTGCCAATTTGAGCTTGAAAACCTTGAATGATTGTATATGCGACTCACAACTGTGTGGTAGTTTAAAATGTACATACCATGGAATAGAATGATTCTATATACAGTTATATACATGTAATAACTGTTGAGGGTCTCCTCTGAATTTCAGAAAACTGCACCACAAAATCTATTGACTGTTCTTTAACATTGGAAAGTTTTTCTACAGATTCACAGATTCTACAGATTTTTTTTTTCAAAACTGAGAGGTCTGGCAGTTAATCGATGCTGTCAAATCACAACAGATTTCCACTGCATTAGTTACCTGATGGAGGGTGCGATTCAACTAGCCAAGCAGGATTGCAGTGAAAAATGATTGAAAGTTAACGTTTAGGAATAATCACGTGCTTTTTTTGGCTTTGTATGCTCAATTCTTAGCAACAGCAGCCAATATATTTGGCAGTTCTAATTAAAAAATTTAAATGTAAGTTGTTTTACCAAAATTTTTACCATTTTTCTAAATTTTCAATAATTTCTTAATTCATTTCAGAACAAATGGACAATATTTCTGATTGGCTATAGGACTTAGTCAATATTTAAAAAAAAAAAAAAATATGGAAAAATAAGTCAATTTCTTTTGGGCAAAGCAACTGATGTTAACTAGCACTCAGAATAAAAAAAATCCAAACATATATTGTACATATTTCCAAAACATATTAAGATGACATTACTGAGAAATTTAAAAGCTTTGAAAATATGTATCCCTGCACAATAATGATTATTAGGTGCAAGTAAGTAGAGCGTATTGAACAATTAAATTACAGTTAAAAGCAGTAAAAGGGGTCAAAGGTCGAAATGAAGTAGTTTCTCCACAGGATATTAACTAATTGTATTTGCCAACACAAAGCTCTTACAGGTTACCAATTTTCTTGATGATAATGTAAAAGCTTATTTATGATAGAACATTCCTTGTCAATAGATACATGAATCATTTCCCCAGGAGACAATAAATCGGTGAATTAACAAGAAATTTAATTAAGATATTTTGCAGTCAAAAGTGGGTTGTTAAGATAAATTTAATGTTCCTTCTATGATTAAAAGAACTACATGTATACAGAATGAACTGCATACATTGTAAGCTAACTGATATACAAGTATTCATTAATATTTTGTATTATAAATTTTTCTTATGTGGGCATTGTGTTTATTATATTATTAGAAAATCCTGTATTACTCGATGCATACCATTGTGACATTAAATTTGGTAATGACAAACATTTCTGGTGGCAAGAGATGTGAAATAAAAGTATAATACTGTAAACGAAATACAATGAAGCTTTTCACAGAGAATACATAAACTTTGAAAATTGCTGACGATCAACTGTGTTGTCAGTATATCTCAGTGTGAAGAGATGTACACTTGCATGTTCCAGGGCTAAGACGTGCACATTCACTGGCACATAGTACTGACTCTAGATTCAATATGGCACTGTGAGTTATTCACAATATTTAAACAAGCAGTCGAAATAGCACTACTGTCCTGAAAGAACATTGTGGTAGCCAATTCAAGTAATGCACACGCATAAAACTTCTTCATGAAAACTGTTAATTAAGAATCAAAGTAGCAAAGCAATTTTGAAGTTGAAAATAGCATTTTTTACCAAAAATATTCACCAAAAAAAGAGAATTGAAGATGTCATCACGGAATGAATCTGACAGCGGGTTCACTTAAGGTACCTACAAACCAAGTATCAAAGCAATTGACCTGGTAGTTTAAAAAAAGAAATCATAAAAATGTAATTGCTGACAAATGGATTATCATCTATATGAACATCTCTGTTATCTATGATGACAACAGAGGTAAAGAAAAAAAAAAACATCATTCTTAGCATGATAAATATTAAAGATTGATCAGATAACAAAATTATTCAATACGGCTTGGGAAGAATCATAATGATCATCAATCAATGTTCGATTGAATAAAAATACTTCTAACATTCTTTACCTGATGAATAATTCCAGACCCTGGTTTCCAGAAACCAACACCATATTTGGCACTAGCTGTTGCTAAGAAATTATAAACTTCTTTGTTGATATCCTACCAAAATAAAAATAATCACAATAGAAGCTCTTTATGAACAAGAATTTGAGTTGACTCAATGGTAAACTATGGTCAAAATCAAATAAACACACATTTGTCTTTTTCATAATACAAACAGATACTCCAATATTTAGAGAATTAAAGAACTTATTGCATGGGAACATGACAATGATGGGATGTGCAAATATAAAGGAGAAAATGAATCTAATA